TCCTTATAAGATAGAGTGACCAGAATAGTTCGCCTCCAGCTCCCATAACAACTCCCATCAAAAGGATCAAAAACCAAAGATGTTCCTAGAACGTCCGATGGATGAACATGTAGAGGATGGAACTGATGCGTGCAATCATCCTCATGAAAAATGATGCGAGATGAGGAGAAGGTAGTAGATAAAGAATTGTCATCTGGTATTTCAGAAATCAGAACCCTAGCTTTCAGGAGAACAATCAAAACTGATGAATCAAACGAATCAATATATGAAGATTGCAGAGTATAAAATCACCAAACAAATCCCAATTTTTTGGTGAAATCGTCGAAAATATAGATCAGCGGAAAGTAGAATCTCAACAAAATTGAACGAAAACAAGATCGATATGCAGCTAGTCATCATCAAAGGCTAAATCTCTAGCTCTAATACCATGTTAACATGAGAAAATTGAAGGAAAATGATGAAATGACACGAGGATTCATATGTATTGAAAGAGCCAACTCAATCTCATTATCAGTTGAAGAGAAAAATGTCAGAGAGCCTTTACAAGTATTGGGTCAGTGCTATATATACATGACCAGAGTCCACTACCGATTGACTGGAAAGAATAAAAGAAATACATGGGTACATAATTATATTTTAGGCCAGCCCAATATTATCAATAGCAAATAAAATAAATCTGTAGTCTGTTAAGTAAGTTCATCAACAAGGTGTTCAATTGAACTATTATTTCCAACATCATCTAACAGAGAAGAATTTTGTTTGATTCCTTTACAAGAATTAATCTTATTCAACTTCTTTGTATTTATAAGGAAAATAATGCATCGTCTATATCTGCTAAGAAGACCCAAAAATTGATTCTTTATATTGATCTTTCACGTTTAAATACAAAACCTCCTTTTCCACTGTACATTTTGCAAAATTAGTGTTGCCAAGTTAGCTATATTCCTTGGAGATCGATGGAGGGGAAATTGACACCAATTGTGAAAGCATTATTTTATTGGTTTCCTCATATGTTCTTGGGATAAAAAAATTGGTGTACTGGAAAAAAACAAAAAGAGGTTATTCCCGGGATTTATCTTGGAAAAGGGATTTACTTTAGTTGTGAAGGGAAGCAGATTGCTTCTTGGGTTTTTATTTTGTGAGTGGTTATAGTTTATAATTCACCATTAGAGGAGGTTGAAGAGAGATTGTGGTGACGATGTTGAGCAGGTTATGATGTGGAGAAATTGGTTGTGGGTGATGGGTGGTTGGGTGATGGGTGGTGGGATATGTTGCAGATTTGAATAAAATTGTTGAAGAAGAAATTAAACAAAAGTAAAAAAGAAAAAAACTATCTCTTGGAAACGTGGCATAAAGACCCTGTAATTTTTAATTTGCATTTATCTTGTCATGCGCTAGATAAATGTGCAATACATTACTAGTGTGTCACAACCCGAAATCATAATCTCGAGATCGTGATGGCGCATAACATCTACTTGCTAGGGAATAAAATGTTAGAGAGTCAATTAACCATTTTAGCAGTTTTTAAATAGATCATTAATAATATGAAACTGAAGAAATATGAAATAGTGGTGATGTGTACAACATGGTGCAGTCTAAAGATATCCTATAAATACGGAGTCATGAATACATGAGCATCTAGAATACTACAAACAAAGTCTCAACAAAAATAATATAACTGTTTGAAATGAGGTAAACAGTAAAGACTTAATAGAAGGGGAGTTCAGGGATTGCGAACCTCAGCAGCTCTACCTCAAGTCTCCTACTGAAAGCTGGTCCATCAAAGATCTCCTCTACACGCCGTTGGGACCAACACTGGTATTTGCACAAGAAGTGCAGAAGTGTAGCATGAGTAAAACCAACCTCATGTACTATGTAAGTGTCAAGCCTAGCCTCGACGAAGTAGTGACGAAGCTATGTCAAGTCACTCTTAAATAACATGTACGAAATAATAATAATAATAATAATAATAATAATAATAATAATAATAATAATAATAATAATAATAATAATAATAATAATAATAATAATAATAATAATAANTTTAAAATTATACAAAAGTAGAGAAAGTTGACAAAAGAATTGTTTCGGCCTATCTATCTTAATAGTTACTCCTATTGAGCCATATTAGTTCGTTTTTCAAAAACTATACCCAATTAAAATTCAAGTTGCTCTTCATTTTTTGGTGTTGGCCATTTGAACGCATTTATTGATCATGCATATCTTAACATCATTCTTGTACTATCAAATTTGATCTGTTATATTTTTTTGCTTATTCTCTTAATTTATCATCTTTGTTTAAGATAAGATGAGTTCAGGGAATATTGAAAAAGAAAGTAACAATTATTTGAAATCGTCTATAACATTGACAGAAGAAAATAGAGATTCGTAAGCATAAAGAAGGTGGAAAATATTTTTCTTTTTCAAAATAACGTACGAGAGATGGACAAAATTAAAGGAAGGGAACAAAAAAATGTCATATAAGAAATAGCAGTAGGAAAAGAATGAAAAAAAATAATAAAAAATAATAATAATAATAATAATAATAATAATAAACAAGTCCAGTTCCCGGTCAAACGGTGATTTCTGTTTCATGTAAGTCTTTTTCAGATAATATTCTTTCTGCTTCAATGGGCTGAGAATCTTCAGCAATATCATCGTTGCTTGTTTCACTTTGCATTGACGTATCTGACTTTTCATATTGAATAACGGAAGACAGTAAATTTCTTTTAACTTCTTCCAAGTAACTGTTAATCATCTCTGTTTTATCTCCTTCTTGAAAGGAGATTCTTCTGGCAATATGTCTCATCGAACTGTCATCAATTACCTCTTTTTGAGGTTTGTTGGAATATTCTTGGATCTTCATCTCGATTGAATCCAAGAGCTCTTGACCGTATAAGGTCTTTGATTTGGGATCCTTCTTCATTAATTTGTCCCAAAAATTATTGTAAAAAGTCCTGTATAAGCAGGGGACTTGTTCTTCAGTGAATCCTACCTCTGGATTCCATTTATGTATCCAAGGGATAGAAAATTCCAGAAAGAAATATATTTGGTTAATTTTTTCTGGGTAGCAGATATGATCTGCGTGATATAAATCGTTTATAAAAGGAGAAATTTTTATCCATTCTTTGTATAACATGAGGAATGGATCTGGTAAAATCTTTATTGTTGGACCGTGGTATGACCACCAGTTTAGA